CTTTGACTGTGTGGATCATAATAAATTGTGGCAAGTTCTTAGTGGGATGGGCATCCCAAGCCACCTTGTCTCTCTCCTGAGGAATCTGTACAAGGACCAAGTAGCAACAGTCAGAACTGACCACGGAACAACAGACTGGTTCAAGATTGGGAAAGGCGTACGGCAAGGCTGCATACTCTCACCCAACCTTTTTAACTTGTATGCAGAACACATCATGCGATGTGCGGGGCTTGATGAATGCAAAGCTGGGGTGAAAATTGGTGGAAGAAACATTAACAACCTCAGATATGCAGATGACACCACTCTGATGGCCGAAAGCGAGGAGGAGCTGAGGAGCCTTCTAATCAAGGTGAAAGAAGAAAGCGCAAAAGCCGGGTTGCAGCTAAACATAAAAAAACTAAGATTATGGCAACAAGAATGATTGACAACTGGGAAATAGAGGGAGAAACCGTGGAGGCCGTGACAGACTTTGTATTTCTAGGTGCAAAGATTACTGCAGATGCAGACTGTAGCCAGGAAATCAGAAGACGCTTACTTCGTGGGAGGAGAGCAATGTCCAGTCTCGATAAAATAGTGAAGAGTAGAGACATCAGACTGGCAACAAAGATCCGCCTAGTCAAAGCCATGGTATTCCCTGTAGTCACCTACGGATGTGAGAGCTGGACCTTAGGGAAGGCTGAGCGAAGGAAGATCGATGCTTTTGAGCTGTGGTGTTGGAGGAAAGTTCTGAGAGTGCCTTGGACTGCGAGAAGATCCAACCAGTCCATCCTCCAGGAAATAAAGCCCGACTGCTCACTGGAGGGAAAGATACTAGAGACAAAGTTGAAGTACTTGGGCCACATCATGAGGAGACAGGAAAGCCTAGAGAAGACAATTATGCTGGGGAAAGTGGAAGGCAAAAGGAAGAGGGGCCGACCAAGGGCAAGATGGATGGATGGCATCCTTGAAGTGACTGGACTGACCTTGAGGGAGCTGGGGGTGGTAACGGCCGACAGGGAGCTCTGGCGTGGGCTGGTCCATGAGGTCACGAAGAGTCGGAGACGACTGAACGAATGAACAACAACAACAAATCTCTCAAACGTCGGATCTCCATCTCTTTCGTAGTTCAGCTTTCAAGTTCCTTGGATGGCGTGAACCTCTGCGGAATGAAACCTGATAGGACAACGTTTCAGAGTCACTGCTTTCATGCTTTTTTTCCCCCCCCGACTTTTTATTTTTACAATACAGAAAATACATACCTTGCACACACAAAACATTTACAATTCCCACCACCAACATGAGGATTATTATCTTTCACATATTCATTTCTTTTTGAGACAATCATTATTTCTTTATCTTTATACATTTCCATCCTGTATGCTATATAGCATTTGTATCTTATTTCTTATGACCTGATCTCCAGAATGATTCATAATATAGTTCTTTACCCTTGTCCATCTATCTTCCATTTCTCTCATTCGATTTTCATTGATTTTTAAATCATTTAATTTCACATTCATAATTTCAAATTCCATTTGCTCCACCATATAATGGTACCATTTATTTATTGTCCATTTTGATTTATCTTTCCACCCTAATACTATTACTGCTTGTGCACATTCAATTATTGCTTCTTTTATTTCCCTTTTATTTCCCATTTCCTCTCTTTTCCCTAATACCGCTAATTCCTTTGTTATGACCCACTCATTTCCTAATATTTGATTTGACACATTTTGTATAGTCTGCCAAAAATCTTGTACATATTCACATTCCCACATCATGTGCATAAAGTGCCCTTTCTGGTGGCATCCATGCCAGCACTGACTACTCCCCTCTTTATAATAGTATGCTAATTGGCAGGGTGTGCGATACCATTTGTGCAATATTTTCCTCCTCGTTTCTCGTACTTTAGTATTCCTTTCCATCCCTATTATCTCTACCACATTTCTCATTTCTTGTTCCGAGATTTGTAACTCCGTTTCCCACATAGTTTTCAAGTCCTGTATTGTACATCCATCGGCCTCTATTAGCATTGTATATATTTTGCTGGCCTGTGCCTTCTTTCCTTCCCCTTTTTCTCTTATTATCTTTTCAAAGGCGGTATCTTCTCTCTTAACCATATTGATATTTTCTTTTGTTTTGCAATATGCACAGATTGCTCTTATCTGTAACCAGTTTTCTTGCCCAAGCCATTGTTTAATTTTATTCTCCCTTACCTTTCCCTCTCTGTCATATAATTGTTCTACTCTCTCTATTCCTTTTTCCTTCAATATCTGGATATTTCTATTCATATTTGATTCCTTATCCTTGTTAATTATCCATACTGTTGACATTTTGGATTTTAAACTACATGCTTTACCACAGTGGTTCTCAGCCTGGGGTCCCCAGACGTTTTTGGCCTACAACTCCCAGAAATCCAGCCAGTTTACCAGCTGTTAGGATTTCTGGGAGTTGAAGGCCAAAAACATCTGGGGACCCCAGGTTGAGAACCACTGCTTTAAAATAATACTAACTATAACTAAATAGGACCCTCGTTCTTTCATGGCCAGAATCACTGGGTTGTTGTAGGATTCTTTGGGTTATATGGCCATGTTCTAGAGGCATTCCCTCCTGACGTTTCACCTGCATCTATGGCAAGCATCCTCAGAGGTTTGGCCACTGACTCTAACAGGCTTTAGCCTACGCACCCTCCCCAGGATGACACTAGCTTTGGCCCACTGACGCTAACAGGCTTTGGCCTACTCACTCTCCCCAGGATGACACTAGCTTTGGCCCACTGACTCTAACAGGCTTCGGCCTACTCACTCCCCAGGATGACACTAGCTTGGTCCACTGACTCTAACAAGCTTTGGCCTACTCACTCTCCTCAGGACGACACTAGCTTTGGCCCACTGACTCTAACAGGCTTCAGCCTACTCACTCTCCTCAGGATGACACTAGCTTTGGCCAACTGACCCTAACAGGCTTCGGCCTACTCACTCTCCTCAGGACGACACTAGCTTTGGCCAACTGACTCTAACTGGCTTTGGCCTACTCACTCTCCTCAGGACGACACTAGCTTTGGCCCACTGACTCTAACAGGCTTCGCCTACTCACTCTCCTCAGGACGACACTAGCTTTGGCCCACTGACTCTAACAGGCTTCAGCCTACTCACTCTCCTCAGGATGACACTAGCTTTGGCCCACTGACTCTAACAGGCTTCGGCCTACTCACTCTCCTCAGGACGACACTAGCTTTGGCCCACTGACTCTAACAGGCTTCGGCCTACTCACTCTCCTCAGGACGACACTAGCTTGGCCCACTGACTCTGACAGGCTTCGGCCTACTCACTCCCCTCAGCCTACTCACTCTCCTCAGGACGACACTAGCTTTGGCCCACTGACTCTAACAGGCTTCGGCCTACTCACTCTCCCCAGGACGACACTAGCTTTGGCCCACTGACTCTAACAGGCTTCGGCCTACTCACTCTCCTCCAGGACGACACTAGCTTTGGCCTACTGGCTCTAACAGGTTTCGGCCTACTCATTCTCCCCAGGAGGACACTAGCTTTGGCCCACTGACTCTAACAGGCTTCGGCCTACTCACTCTCCTCAGGACGACACTAGCTTTGGCCCACTGACTCTAACAGGCTTCGGCCTACTCACTCTCCTCAGGATGACACTAGCTTTGGCCCACTGGCTCTAACAGGCTTTGGCCTACTCACTCTCCTCAGGAGGACACTAGCTTTGGCCCACTGGCCCTAAAAAAAACAAGGCTTGGGAACCTATCACTATCCCCAGGGATTTGTGGGGACAACTAGCTTCTGGCCCCCACTGCTCCTAACAGGGCCCTTCGGGGGTTATCGCTCTCCTGAGGGGGACGGGAACCCACTAGCTTTGGGCCACTGACTTCTAAAAACGGCTTCGTCGGGGCCTAACTCATGTCCCCTTTAAGGACGACCCCACTAGGCTTTTCAGGCCCGCCTCACTACCACTTGTAAAAAACCTTTTTCGGCTAACTCCCCAAACTTTCCTATCAGGGATGTGACATTGTTTGACCCCCACTGGACTCTAAAAAAAAACCAGCGCTCGGGGCCGTTACTCCACTCTCTCCGGAATGGGGAACACTAGGGCTTGATTCCACTGATTTCTAAAAAACAGGGCTTTTGGCTGACCTCACCTATCATCAGGGCGGGACCCAAACTGGTACACTCAGCCTTTCGGCCCAACTTGGAAAGTTAAACAGGGCTTCGGGGGGTGGGGGGGAAACCTTACTCACTCTCATCAGGGACGGAAACAAGCTTTGGCCAAACTGGAACTTCAAAAACAGGCTTCGGCCATCACTCTCCTCAGGGACGACACTAGCTTTAGACCACAGAATCAAAACTAGGCTTTGGTCTTAACACTCCTCCTTCAGGGACGGGACATTAAGCTTTGGGCCCCAACTGGACTCTAAAACAGGGCTTCGTCCTTTACTTCTTCCTCCTCAGGGAAGGGGTAACACTTTAGCTTTAGCGAGCTCTACTGGGACTGTAAAACAAAAAAACAACCTTGGCCTAGCTCACTCTCTCTCAGGATGACACTAGCTTTTGCCCACTGACTCTAACAGGCTTCGGCCTACTCACTCTCCTCAGGACGACACTAGCTTTGGCCCACTGACTCTAACAGGCTTCGGCCTACTCACTCTCCTCAGGACGACACTAGCTTTGGCCCACTGACTCTAACAGGCTTCGGCCTACTCACTCTCCTCAGGACGACACTAGCCTTTGCCCGCTGACTCTAACAGGCTTCGGCTTACTCACTCTCCTCAAGACGACACTAGCTTTGGCCCACTGACTCTAACAGGCTTCGACCTACTCACTCTCCTCAGGACGACACTAGCTTTGGCCCAATGACTCTAACAGGCTTCAAACCTACAATGACCCAGTCCACAAAATGCCACCACGGCACTTAACAGTGGAACAGTTGAACGAGTGCATCCGCACAAGATGCGAAGGTAAAGTGAAATGGAAATGTAAGATCAAGTAAAACGGCATCCTCACCCCTGCCTTCGTGTGCAAGACCCGCAGCCAGTTGCCGATCATGGTGAGGATGGAGGCAAAGTAAGCCAAGCCCAGCAGAATCCAGACCACCACCATCACCTGGTACCAGATGTGCTTGCTGCTTTTGGTGTAACCTAAAAAAAAAGAGACCCTCAAAGATAATGCCATCCCATTGTCAGCATTAATGTTGTGGCTCCCAATCCATTTGGCTTCTCTGTGTGGAAAGAAGAGAAGTGTCATCTCGTCCATAGTATCAAGCAATATCACAATCTTAAGGAAAACAGGATGCAATTACAACACAGCATAACAAGAAGAAGAATTTTTGGTGTCTTTGATCCAGACTGCATCAACTCTAATTTCTTAGAGAGAAATAGCAACTGGTATATGCCATATGTCACGTATTGCAAAAACTAAAGCTGATACAGGGAAATGGGTGCAATTTTTTGGAATCAGCAGATCAACTACACCCAGAAACAGAGTTAACATTTGAGGGTTAGCTATGATAGCGAATAAGCGGTCGAGAAACCTCAAGCACGTGCTGATAAGTTCTGACTTTATAACTCCTAACATCACTAAGAAACCCAATCTCAGAGGCCACTTTAACTGTGGACATTGCCTTTGTTGCACGCAGTCTGTGCTGGCACAGTTGTGCCAGGAGTTTGAACTTCCTTTTCATGCATGGCTAGTTTGCTTTAATTTATTTGGACCATGCATTTTGCAATAGGGTAGCTTCCCTCAGTTTGCAACCATAGGGCCAACAACCCATCAATCATTGTTAAGATTTTTGGATCCGCCCCTTTTCCCAGGTTTGGAGGGAAAAGGGGACTTTCAGTTCAGTTTTGCAGTTGGAAGCCTTACAGAAGGACGTGTGAGCTTTTCTCTCCCCACCTGTAAAAAGCTTCATTTTGCACAGCTTTGCTGGGAGTAAAGAAACAGATCCACAGCTTTGGCTGGGAGATAAAGTTATAGTCGCAGCCTCACAGCTTTTGCTGGGAAGAAAGTTACAGCCAGCCTTCACCGGGGAAAGGGAAATACAGCCAGCTCTGCGGGAAAGTAAAGGGCTTCCTTCAACTTGGAAAATCTACAGAGACTTTGCCTGGTAAGGACCACTCGGGTTATCCATAACGCAGCTTGGAACCAGGAGTAGGGGCCCCATGCCAGCAAAGCAGTAAAGATTGCCCAGGGAGGGGTCAAAGGATTTCCCTTAAAGAAGAACAGTTTATTAAGCAGTTGCCTGTCCCTTGTCGGCAGATTGAAGAAGTTACCAATTCTCCAAAGTTATAAAGTGTTTAATCTGTGTTTTTGAAGATTTTATCCTTAATAAAGAACTTTGTTGGACTTATCTTAAGCATGAAAAATGAACAAAATCTGGCTACCAATATTAAAAAAAACTCTAAAATTACAACAGCAAAACAACAGAGAGGAAACAATCAGGCACATCTAATCACCTCTCAACAAAAGATTCCCCCAGGCACTGCCAAGCCATCAAATGCTAATTAAGGTGGTCAGTTGAAACATTCACACCTAGCTCCAGCAGACAAGAGTCCTTTGTCCCACCCTGGTCATTCCACAGATATATAAACCCTTTTTTCCTAGTTCCAACAGACCTCACTACCTCTGAGGATGCTTGCAAAACATCAGGAGAAAATGCCTCTAGAACATGGCCATATAGCCCGGAAAAACCTACAACAACCCAGAGTCTCAACCAATTTAACAGTCACAAAAACGCAGTTTCTGGAGTAGATCAGCTACTTTAACAGTAAGTGCTGCACAATTAAACAGAAAATAATGTTTCCAAACTAGGGACAGAAATGAAAGAATAGGAAGTAGCCATGAAAATAATTCGCTCTGATTGGCCCCTCGGCACCCACCTGCGACGTAATCACAAAAACCAATTGTGGTCAATGTGATGACCACGAAGTAGATGCTTTCCAGGAAGGTCCACCCTTCTATGTGCTGGAAAATGGTGGTCGGCAAAAGGACGAAGAAGATGCAGCCGATGAGGATGAAGAGCAAGGCTGAGAGCACTCTCACGATGGTCGCGCTGACCTGCCACTTCTGGGCTGGGGAGAGAAGGAGGCGAGTCAGCATTCAAGAAGTCATTGCCACTCCAAAAGGAAGTCTGCTCTCACATGTAAGGTTCCTACCCAATGATGTGTCTAATGCTGGGATCTGGGAGCGGATCCTTGCATCAGTGGGGCATCTTCAGAAGGGGTATGAAAACAACAGTCCTATACTTTGAATTCCTATCGGGAGGAAGGTGGAATACATAATCATCATCATTATCATCATGATCATCATCATCATCATCATCTATGTTTAGCCACCTTGAGTTCCTATGGGGAGATAGGCATGATACAAATAAAGTTGTTGTTGTTGTTGTTGTTGTTATTTGAAACACAAGATTATTATTGTGTTTCAAATTCCTATCGGGAGGAAGGTGGAATACATAATAATAATAATCATCATCATCATCATCATCATCATCTATGTTTAGCCACCTTGCGTTCCTAAGGGGAGATAGGTAGGATTTTGTCATGTGGGAGTTGTAGTTGCTGGGATTTATAGTTTACCTACAATCACAGAGCATTCTGAACTCCACCAATGATAGAATTGGGCCAAACTTGGCACACAGTTCTCCCATGACCAACAGAAAATACTGGAAGGGTTTAGTGGGCAGTGTCCTTTAATTTTGGAGTTGTAGACTCAAACAATGATGGATCTGGACCAATCTCTACATGAATACTCAATATGTTCAAATGTGGAAGGGTTTAGTGGGCAGTGTCCTTTAATTTTGGAGTTGTAGACTCAAAACAATGATGGATCTGGACCAATCTCTACACGAATACTCAATATGTTCAAATGTGGAAGGGTTTAGTGGGCAGTGTCCTTTAATTTTGGAGTTGTAGACTCAAACAATGATGGATCTGGACCAATCTCTACACGAATACTCAATATGTCCAAATGTGGAGTTTGGGGAAAATAGAATCTTGACATTTGGGAGTTGTACTTGCTGGGATTTATAGTTCACCTACAATCACAGAGCATTCTGAACCCCACCAACGATAGAATTGGGCCAAACCTCCCACACAGAACCCCCCATAACCACCAGAGTGGGCCGCAGCAAGGCGTGGCAGGGGACGGCTAGTAAATAAATAAATAAATAAATTTTAGATGAAAAGGGGTCACGAGTGGAAAAATTTTAAGAAGCCAAGTTTTTTATACTTCAAAAAAAAGGAGAAGAAACTCTATTTATACCCCACAAGGAGGCTCCATCAAAATAATCTCAGCAAGTGAGAGTCCAAAAGTGGCAGGATAAGAAAAGTGGAGAGGAATTTCTGTTCACCAAAAAAATGTTTTCCACTTTGCCAATGGCGTTCCAGAGAGTGGATCCCAAAAGATCTCCGACTCCCGCGAGCAGCATCCCAAACAGAGGGATCCCCACAAGAGCATAGAAGATACAGAAGACCCGGCCAGCATCCGTCTTGGGGGAAATGTTCCCAAATCCTATTAGGTCGGAACAGTGAAGAGAAAGACTTTCAATCAAAACAAATGTAAGGACTCGTCAGTACCGATCCTGTCTATCCCAACTATAACCAATTGACTGCTTAGACTGGGCTTTGGATGTTTTGGAAACTACAAGGGCGTTCATTAATGATTTTCCTGGACCCACTTCCTGTGGACGGAGAGTAATGAAACTTGGACCAGTTCTGATTCCTTCTCTCCCATCTTTTGAAGCAACTGTCACCACCTCGCTTGTAGAAGCCAACAGGTTGCTCCACAAGCCATGTTGTGACTTTGGAAATCAGAGTCTCACCATCTGAAAAATGTTTGCCCTTCCAAAATAACTTCCTTCTTGGAAAGAGGTGGAAGTCCCAACATGGCTTCCACCTCTTGTGCACCAGCTGTTCCCGTAGCTTGGAATGTCTGATCTGGTCATGGTGGTCCATACTCTGGTTACATCCCAAATAGTAGGCCTGGTCAATCCATGATTCTAAAGTACTTACAAAACTAAAGTTCTGGTGGTGAAAATTTCAGAACTCTAACAAAACTCTCAAAATTTCATTATAAATGGCAGTTCCTAATTGGTTCTGTCATAAAATCACCAATAATGAAATAATAATTAAATTTTGAAAGTTTTGTTAGAGTTCTGAAATTTTCACTACTAGAACTTTAGTTTTGTAAGTACTTTAGAACCATGGATTGACCAGGCCTACCGAATAGATTACTCCAATGCTCTCTACTAGGCCTGTTCAATCCATGGTTCTAAATGGTTCTAAAGTACTTACAAAACTAAAGTTCTGGTGGTGAAAATTTCAGAATTCTAACAAAACTCTCAAAATTTCATTATAAATGGCAGTTCCTAATTGGTTCTGTCATAAAAATTGCCAGAAATGAAATAATAATTAAATTTTGAAAGAGTTCTGAAATTTTCACCACCAGAACCTCAGTTTTGTAAGTACTTTAGAACCACCTAGAACCATGCATTGAACAGGCCTACTCTCTACGTAGGGTTGACTTTGAAGACTGTTGGAAACTCCCAACTAGTCCAACGGGCGGCAGCCAGATTACTCACCGGATCGCCATACAGGGAACACACCACCCCTCTGCTATGTCTCGACTGACTGCCGGTCCACTTCTGAGCACAATTCAAAGTGCTGATCTTGGCCTATAAAGCCCTATACGGTTCCGGCCCAGCTTACTTATCCAAATGTATCTCCCTCTACGCTCCACCTCGTAATCTAAGATATGCGGATGCCCAGCTCTCGGTCCCACCGGCTTCACAAACGAGTCTGGTGGGGATGAGGGACAGGGCTTTCTCGGTGGTGACCCCCCCGCTTGTGGAATTCGCTCCCCAGCAAGATTAGATCGGGGTCCTCCCTCCTTTACTTTAGGGAAAAAACTAAAACCATGACTATGGAACCAGGCCTTTGGCTAAGGGGTGCAGCAGCACTTTGAACATGGACTGGACTTGACGATTGTTATGATAACTTGGAAACGGATATGTGATTATGTGGTGGTGTGATGATATAACTAATTGTTACTGTTTTTAACTTGCTATGTATTTATGTTTTACTAGCCGTCCCCTGCCATACGTTGCTGTGGCCCAGTCTGTGTATATGTGTTTTGTGTGTGTATATATGTTTGTATGTGTGTGTATATGTCTGTGTATTTATGTGTGTTTGCATATATACATGTGGGTGTATATGTGTGTGTGTATATATTTGCGTATATATATATGTGTTTGCTTGTGTGTGTGTGTGTGTGTGAAGGAATCCCACTGGAGCATTGCAGCACACCCAAATACCTGGGAGTAACTCTGGACCGTGCTCTGACCTCCAAAAAGCACTGCCTGAACATCAAGCAAAAAGTGGGTGCTAGAAACAATATCATATGAAAGCTGACTGGCACAACCTGGGGGTCACAACCAGACACAGTGAAGACATCTGCCCTTACGCTATGCTACTCTGCTGCTGAGTATGCATGCCCAGTGTGGAACACATCTCACCACGCTAAAACGACTTAAATCTAGAAATAGTTTTCTAAGATCTACAGAGACACTCGCTGGAACACCTCAGCAAGCGAGAGTCCAAAAGTGGCAGGCTCAAACCCAGAACCTCAACCAATGGCTGATATCAAATGAGAGACTCCCCCCTGGGCACACAGAAACTGGGTGACTTGGAAGGCGCTGAACAGACTGCGCTCTGGCACCACGAGATGCAGAGCCAACCTTAAGAAATGGGGCTACAAAGTGGAATCACGACATGCGAGTGTGGAGAAGAGCAAACCACTGACCACCTGCTGCAATGCAACCTGAGACCTGCTACATGCACAATGGAGGACCTCCTTGTGGCAACACCAGAGGCACTCCAAGTGGCCAGATACTGGTCAAAGGACATTTAATCAACTACCAAGCTTGCAAACTTTGTGTTTTCTTTGTTTGTATGTATGTTAAAAATGCGATACGATTGTCTGGATGCTGCTGACACGATAAATAAATAAATACCCATTGCCATGCAGGAAAAGCACAATCACACACCCCTCCCCCCGACAGATGGCCATCCAGCCTCTGTTTAAAGGCCTCCCAGAAAGGAGCCTCCACTACACTCTGAGGGAGTGAGTTCCACTGTTGAACAGCTCCTACGGTCAGGAAGTTCTTCTTAATGTTGAGGTGGAATTCTCCAAAATCAGCCCCTGGGTACCGATGGTGGTGATGACGGTGCCAGCGAAGAAAAAGGCGCTGCTCATATCCCAGTGTGAGCTGTTGCCTCTTGTGCTGTTGATGAGCGGGTTCACGCCAGCTTCCAAGGCTTTGGCAACTTGCTGGGAAGAAGGGCAGAGAAAAGTATTACAGCCAGCATGGAGATAGCCCAGCAAGCACTCCAAAGGGAAATACTACAGCAAGATTGACTTTTACAGTTCCTACTGATACTTCTAGGATGCTTTTTTTTATTTTATTTTATTTTATTATTTTTATTTTATTATTATTTATTATTATGTTTTTTTAAATACTGGTAGCCAGACTTTAGAGTTAAAAAGAAATCTAAAATCATAACAGTAAATAAAGAACAACACTCAAAAACAGAGGAATTCCAGACAGGAAACAATCAGGGACAGCTAATCACCTCCCAACAAAGGATTACCCAAGACTGTAAGAAGCCAGACCTTGAAACTGCTAGGCCATTAAAAAGAAATCTAAAATCATAACAGTAAATAAAGAACAACACTCAAAAACAGAGGAATTCCAGACAGGAAACCATCAGGTACAGTTAATCACCTTCCAACAAAGGATTACCCCAGACTGTAAGAAGCCAGACCTTGAAACTGCTAGGTTATTAAATGCTAATCAAGGTGGCCAATTGAAACATTCACACCTACGTCAAACAGACAAGAGTTCTGTCTTCCACCCTGGACATTCCAGAGATATATAAACCTCACTTGCCTAGTTTCTGACAGCCCCTTCAATTTATTTATTTATTTATTATTTATTTACTTCATTTGTTGACCGCCGCTCTCAGCCCTAGGGCGACTCGCGGCGGTGTACAACATATAAAAACAATTACAAAAGGCAAGAACAACAATAACAATAATACAGAATAATACAATTACAACTAAATGGTCCGCTTCGTCTCATCATAGAATCATAACCAAGTTCGTAGTCCGTAATCCATTCCCGTCGTCAATTACCGATTAATAGCACTTAATTAAATGCCTTCTCGAAAAGCCATGTCTTCAAGCTTTTTCGGAAGGACATCAGGGAGGGCGCCTGTCTGATGTCAACAGGGAGGGTGTTCCACAGCCGGGGGGCTACCACCGAGAAGGCCCTCTCTCTCGTCCCCGCCAGACGTGCCTGTGAAGCAGGCGGGATCGAGAGAAGGGCCTCCCCAGATGATCTCAAGGCCCTCGTGGGCTCATAGGCCGAGATGCGGTCCGAAAGGTATTTTGGGCCGGAACCGTTTAGGGCTTTGTAGGATAACACCAGCACCTTAAATTGGGCCCGGTAGCAGATCGGCAGCCAGTGGAGCTGAGACAACAAGGGCGTTGTGTGCTCCCTGCGTCCCGCTCCAGTTAGCAACATGGCTGCCGCGCGCTGGACTAGCTGAAGCTTCCGGGCCGTCTTCAAGGGCAGCCCACGTAGAGAGCGTTGCAGTAGTCAAGGCGGGATGTGACCAGAGCGTGTACCACCGTGGCCAAGTCAGACTTCCCAAGGTACGGGCGCAGCTGGCGCACGAGCCTAAGCTGTGCAAAGGCTCCCCTGGTCACCGCTGAAACCTGGGGATCCAGGCTCAGCGATGAATCCAGGGTCACACCCAAGCTGCGAACCTGCGCCTTCAAGGGGAGTGCGACCCCGTCCAGCACAGGCTGTAACCCTATACCCTGTTCGGCCTTGCGACTGACCAGGAGTACCTCTGTCTTGTCTGGATTTAATTTCAGTTTGTTCGCCCTCAGCCAGACCATTACAGCGGCCAGGCACCGGTTCAGGACCTCGACAGCCTCCTTAGTAGCAGGTGGAAAGGAGTGACAGAGTTGGACATCATCTGCGTACAGATGACACCGCACCCCGAAACTCCGGATGATCTCACCCAGCGGCTTCATGTAGATGTTGAACAGCATGGGGGACAGTATAGAGCCCTGTGGGACCCCACAGGTCAAAGGCTGTGGTGCCGAACAGGAGTCCCCCAATAACACCTTCTGGGTGCGTCCCTCCAGAAATGACTGGAGCCACTGCAGAGCAGTGCCCCCAAGGCCCATCTCCGCAAGGCGCCCCAGAAGGATACCGTGGTCGACGGTATCGAAGGCCGCTGAGAGGTCCAAGAGCACCAACAGGGACACACTCCCCCTGTCTAGCTCCCGGCGCAGATCATCCACTAAGGCGACCAAGACTGTCTCGGTTCCATGTCCCGGTCTGAAACCAGACTGTGCCGGATCCAGAATATCCGTGTCTCTCAAGAATACCTGGAGTTGTGAGGCCACCACGCTTTCCATGACTTTGCCCAAAAAGGGGAGATTGGAAACAGGCCGAAAGTTGTCAAATTTAGTGGGGTCCAGTGATGGTTTCTTCAACAGCGGTTTTATAATAGCTTGTTTTAAGCTCACTGGAATCTTGCCTTCCCGAAGGGAGGCGTTAACCACCACCGTTACCCACTCAGCCAATCCCCCTCTGGCCTCCTTCAGAAGCCAGGATGGGCAGGGGTCTAGGATGGACGTGGTGGGCCTCATTCCTCCAAATATCTTGTCCACATCCTCGGGTTTCACAAACTGAAAAGAATCCATCAAAATAGGACAAGCAGGTGCTTCGAGTCACATCCTCTGAGACTGCATTTAATATGGTGTCCAGCCCAGAACGGATCAAAGCGACTTTGTCTGCAAAGAACCGAGCAAATGCTTCACAGCGCGTGACCGAATTGTCAGGGCTCCCGCCAGAAGTGGCGGGAGTTAAAAGACCTCTGACAATCCGGAACAACTCCGCCGGACGGTTTTTTGCAGACGCAATAGTGGCTGCAAAGAAAATTTTCTTTGTGGCCTTTATTGCCGCGGCATATGCCCTTAGGTAGGACACAAACCGTGCTCGATTTGACTCGCTTGGGTCCAAACGCCACACGCTCTCTAGTTCCCTCTTCCTTCGCTTCATCACTGCCAGCTCCTCAGTAAACCAAGGAGCTGGTTTAGCTCGGCTACTTGAGAGGGGACGTTCCGGAGCGATCACGTCAATTGCCCTGGCCATCTCCCCATTCCAGAGAGCGACCAAGGCCTCGACATGGTCACCTACCGAGGAGGCGGGAAACTCCCCAAGAGCCGTCAGGAATCCATTCGGATCCATAAGCCTCCTGGGGCGGACCATCTTAATGGGTCCTCCACCTTTGCAGAGGTTAGGGGGCGCAGTGAGCCTAAATCTGATCAGGAAGTGGTCAGTCCATGGCAACGGAGAGATGGACAACTCCTCCACACCGCCACCCTGTTCCCATCCCTGGCAGAAAACCAAGTCCAATGTATGTCCAGCACAGTGGGTGGGGCCAGATATTTTTTGGGACAGCCCCATGGTTGCCATGGCAGACATGAAGTCCTGAGCCGCTCCTGAGAGGGTCGCCTCGGCATGGATATTGAAGTCTCCCAGCACAAGAAGCCGCTGAGACTCCAACGCCAGGCTCGAGACTACCCCCGCTAGCTCAGGTAGGGAGACTGTAGTGCAGCGAGGTGGACGGTACACTAGCAGAATCCCTATTCTGTCCCGGTCACCCACCCTCAGGTGGACACATTCAAAATTTGTGGTCTGCGGGATGGGACTCCTGGTCAGATGGATGGAATCTCTATAGACCACTGCGACCCCGCCTCCCCGTCCTCCGGATCTCGGTTGGTGCTGTACGGAGAAGCCTGGAGGACAAAGCTGGGTAAGATTCACGCCCCCAGCTTCATCCAGCCAGGTCTCCGTAATGCACGCCAGATCTGCCCGCTCATCCAGGATTAAATCCTGGATAAAGGTCGTTTTTCCGTTGACAGATCTGGCGTTCAACAGCACCACCTTCAATCCAGAGGGCCCGCTCGCCTGGTTACACCAATTTACCTTAGGAGACCGATTTGGAATTATTAATGTAGATAAGCGGTCCGAATTAGGCCGAATTTGAGGTCTCCTTTTTCCGCATCTCCCCCTCCCCACCACGACCTCTATGGGAGCCCCTCGGCTAGTGGAACACCTCCCCTCCTCCATGCCGCCGTCTAAAGCCAAGATCTTAGTTTCTGTTTTGCTAGTTTCTGTCTTGCTAGTTGTTTGGTTTGTTGGCGTTTTTTCTTGCCAATTCCCTTGATTCCCTTTCTCCCCCCTCCCCACCTCATTGTTATCCACGGTCTCCAGCCCACCTCCTCCCTTGTCCCTTCCACTAGTCACTAATATCAAGGACAGTACCAGTAGGGGGATGGGGGACCGCATGGGTGGTAATAGTACACTTCAATAAGATTGATAGTGGTAAAGTGTAGTGAACGTCTCAGCCGCACCAGTTAGAAAGATCATAAAGTGCAAGAGTCATAAAGTGCAACGCAATAGGCGACACGCCTGCGGGCCACTAGGGCAATTTATAAAGTGCGAAGATCTAAAGTGCAACAAGTACCCAAGACTGGCCCTCAGCGCTAACTAACGTGCGGCAAGGAGGTATCGGGAAGGGGCATAAGTGCAAGTGCGGTTTAGCAGCAGAGGCAGGCGCCTTAAAGTGCTATAATTATGTTCTTAATCCCAATTAGCAGCAAGACGAACAAGGAACAGTACGTAGAATGTTCGCAATATGTGAATTTTGTATAGTAACAGTTGGTAAAAAATGCAGTGATTCAGATGTAATCTATGGACGATTGATGTAAAATAGCGGATGAGTCTCTCAATCTTCCGGAGGTGGTCAACACGGTGGTGGTCAGCTCAGATTGGTCTATAACCAGCTTAAGTTGCATAAGCAGACAACACAATATCGGTCAACACAGGAAAGGTCCGTACAGAAGGTCTACACAATACCGGTCTACACAATATCGTTTAGCCCAGAATAAGGTCAACACAAAAAGATTACCCACAGCTTGCTCAAAGCAATGCTGGGCCCAACGGCGGGGCGTCTTGCATCAGCCAGATGATGGAAGTCCGGATAGTGGGGCCCAGTCTGAGCGCCGTTCACCACACAACGACCTGCTTAGTAGGCCCAGATGGCAGAGGCCTAGCAGAGGCGGCACTCGCTGCGGCGGCGGCGACGGCTTCGGCCACAGTGGTAGGCCTCAGCGAAGGCGCGGCGGGAGGAAAGGCCTCGATGGTAGAGCAGCAGGGCCTAGGTGATAAGAGCCCGGCTTGAGCAGCCTCCGCGGCGCGGCGGTTCACCAGGCAGAGGCCCCCGCAATGGGGGTCCAGCCAAGCGAACGTTCGCGGCGCTCGCGGCCTCGGCGCCGGCTGCTGCCGGCTCCCAACTCCCAACTCACTCCTCCGCAGGCTGCAGAGCCGTCCACCTCCTCTCGGACTCCCGGCTGTCGGTTGCCTCTCACTCCAGCGGCCCAGGTGGTGAAGGACGCCACGAGCCTCAGGCCGAGCCAGCTAGTAGCCCAGCTTGGCTCCGATGGCGGCGGCGGCGAGCTGCTGAATACCGGCCGCAGCTCCAGCCGCGGCAAGTGATTCGGCCCAGCCCGGCCCAACTCCCAAACGGGGGGGTGTCTTTTTGGCCCTTCAACCTCTGAGGATGTCTGCCAGAGATGTGGGTGAAACGTCAGGAGAGAATGCTTCCGGACATTGGTCATACAGTCCGGAAAACTCACAACTACCCAGTGATACTGGCCATGAAAGCCTTCGACAAGACCTCACATCCTCTGAGGATGCCTGCCATAGATGTGAGTGAACCGTCAGGAGAGAATGCTTCCGGAACATGGCCATACAGTCCGGAAAACTTACAGAAACCCAGTGATATCGGCCATGAAAACCTTCAACAACTTTCCATATCCTCTGAGGATGCCTGCAATAGATGTGGGTGAAACGTCAGGAGAGAATGCTTCCAGAACATGGCCATACAGTCCGGAAAACTCACAACAACCCAGTGATACCAGACATGGAAGCCTTTGACAAGACCTCACAACCTCTGAGGATGCCTGCCATAGATGTGGGTGAAACATCAGGAGAGAATGCTTCCGGAACATGTCCATACAGTCCGAAAAACTCACAACAACCCAGTGATTCCGGCCATGGAAGCCTTGACAAGACCTCACAACCTCTGAGGATGCCTGCCATAGATGTGGGTGAAATGTCAGGAGAGAATGCTTCTGGAACATGGCCATACAGTCCGGAAAACTCACAACAACCCAGTGATTCTGGCCATGGAAGCCTTCGACAAGACCTCACAACCTCTGAGGATGCCTGCCATATATGTGGGCAAAACATCAGGAGAGAATGCTTCTGGAACATGGCCATACAGTCCAGAAAACTCACAACAACCCAGTGATACCAGCCATGAAAGCTTTCGACAAGATCTCACATCCTCTGAGCATGCCTTCCATAGATGTGGGCAAAACATCAGGAGAGAATGCTTCCGGAACATGGTCAGACAGCCTGGAAAACTCACAACTCAGTGATTCCCTCCATGGAAGCCTTTGACAAGACCTCAGAACCTCTGAGTATGCCTGCCATAGATGTGGGTGAAACATCAGGAGAGAATGCTTCTGGAACATGGCCATACAGTCCAGAAAACTCACAACAACCCAGTGATACCAGCCATGAAAGCTTTCGACAAGATCTCACATCCTCTGAGCATGCCTTCCATAGATGTGGGCAAAACATCAGGAGAGAATGCTTCCGGAACATGGTCAGACAGCCTGGAAAACTCACAACTCAGTGATTCCCTCCATGGAAGCCTTTGACAAGACCTCAGAACCTCTGAGTATGCCTGCCATAGATGTGGGTGAAACGTCAGGAGAGAATGCTTCCGGAACATGGCCATACAGTCCGAAAAACTTACAGCAACCCAGTGATTCCAGCCATGGAAGCCTTCGACAAGACCTCAGAACCTCTGAGGATGCCTGCCATAGATGTGGGTGAAACGTCAGGAGAGAATGCTTCTGGAACATGGCCAGAGAGCCCAAAAAACTCACAACAACCCAGTATATACCACACTTTCAACATGTATGCTCTTTCCTCAACCAGTTGCCATCTACATATGCTGGACTACCATTCCCATTCCCTAAGAGCTAGCCCTCAGTTGGGGGATGCTGGGAGTTGCCACCCACATCATGTCCCAGACCCCTTCCCCATTCGTTCACCTGGATGAGTTCCTCCAGCTCCTCAGGAGCGACACACTGGTGCAGCCTTAAGAACTGGTCCAGGTGGGCTTGGAGTTTCATCTGTTGGTGGACCTCATGGGGGTGTTCCAGCTGGCGGAAGACAAAGGCGCCCATGACCAGGTAAATCAGGACCACCGAGAAGAGGGCCAAGATGTGGTGCAGTGCATCACAGCGGTGTGTTCGGTTCGGGAGGCCTTGGGCTCAAGATGGATTCCTTGGACGGGTAGCAGACTATGGGCATGGAGCCATGGTGGTCCGGAGGGCAGATGGCCAGGGCCGGCGGCGGCGGGGAGTAATTCACTGTGGCGGGGGGGGGGGGAAGCAGAGAAAGAGAAGGACAGAATCACAGTGTGGGACAGACCCCTAAAGTTCATTGACTCCAACTTCCAGCTAGAAAAACCTTCGTAATATCACGACCCCTTAATCCAGTTCCTCCTGTTGTGGTGACCCCCAACCATAAGATCATTTTCTTGCTACTTCATAACTGTTTTTTGCTACTGTTATGAATCATCATGTAAATATATGATCTGCAGGATGTATTTTCATTCATTGGACCAAATTTGGCACAAATACCTAATACGCCCAAATTTGGATACTGGTGGGGTTGGAAGGGTATTGATTTTGTCATTTGGGAGTTGTAGTTGCTGAGATTTATAGTCCACCTACAATCAAATAATGTTCTGGACTCCACCGATGATTGAATTGAACCAAACTTGGCACGCAGAACTCCCATGACGAACAGAAAATATTGGAAAGGTTTGCTGGATATCGAGTTTTGGAGTTGTAGTTCACCTACATCCAGAGACCCCTGTGGACTCAAAACAATGGTGGATCTGGACCAAACTTGGTACTGGAAATATTTGCTGGGTATCGACCTTGTGTTTTGGAGTTGTAGTTCACTTACATCCAGCGAGCACTGTGGACTCAAACAATGATGGATCTGGACCAAACTTGGCACGAATACTCAATATGCCCAAATATGAACACTGATGGAGTTCTTCTAACTATCTGTATTGCTCAGTCTTTCGAATACACCGCAGTCCTGATGAGAAAGGATTCAAAATCGTATCCCAAGGATGCCTGGAAATGGTTCGTGCTAGTTATCAAGTGGCACTAGGTATACTTGTTGGCTTGGCAATCCTCTGCCTTTTATTGAAGATCATAAAAAACATTCAGGTAAGACTCATAAGTATAAGTCACTTAATGAAGAGAATTGCTCACACATTCACCATTAGTGTGATGTTTTCCATAGATGTTCCCAAATGTCCAAATCAATATTCCATGAAATCATAACAATTTTTATTTCATTATCCCAGGCATGGGCAAACTTTGACCCTCCAGGTGTTTTGGACTTCAACTCCCAGCCTCAGGCCCCTTTCTTTTCCCCTTCAGCTGCTTAAGAAGGAAGGAAAGGAAGGAAGGAAGGAAGGAAGGAAGGAAGGAAGGAAGGAGAGAAGGAAAAGAAGGAAAGGAAGGAAGGAAGAAAGAGAGAAGAAAGAAAGAAAGAAAGAAAGAAAGAAAGAAAGAAAGAAAGAGAGAGAGAAAGAAGAGGAGAGAGGGAAGGAAGGAGAGAAGAAAGAGGAAGAAAGAAGGAAGGAAGGAAGGAAGGAAGGAAGGAAGAAGGAAGGAGAGAAGAAAGGAAGGAAGAGAGAAGGAAGAAAAAAGAGAGAAGGAAGGAGGGAAGAGAAAGAGAGAAGGAGGAAGAGAGAAGGAAGGAGAGAAGGAAGAAGAGGAGGAGGGAAGGAAGGAGAGAGGAAAGAAGGAAGGAAAAGGAAAGAAGGAAGGAAAGAGGAAGGAGGGAAGGAAGGAAGAAGAGGAAGGAGAAGGAAAAAGAGAAGGAAAGGAAGGGAAAGAAGGAAGGAGGGAAGAAGGAAGGAGAGGAAGGAAGAAAGAAAGAAGGAAAAAGGAAGGAGGAAGGAAGGAAGGAAGGAAGGAAGGAAGGAATGGAAGGAAGGAAGGAAGGAAGGAAGGAAGGAAGGAAGGGGAAAAGGGAAAGAAGGAAGGAAAAAAGAAAGAAAAGACAGAAGGAAGGGAGGGAGCGGGAGGGCCCAAGTTTGCTTAAGTGGTTGAGGGAGAAAAGAGTCTGAGGCTGTTAGGAGTGGTGGGAGTTGAGGTCCAAAACACCTTGAGGGCCAAAGTTTGCCCAAGCCTGGGTTATCCTCTAAATTGTACTCTGCTTATGTTTTCTTTCCCCCTTTTTTACTTGATGCAAATCAGTGTTTGTTTCTCATTTTCCGCAGCCCTGTCCAGCAATGGCTGAGACACCCGGTGTTTGCGTTACGTCAGAAAAGAAGAAGGAAGAAATGCATTACAAGTTGGAGATCTTCAACATTATTAAATACCACAACCACGTGACTCGCCGCCACAAGAAAAAAGTCATGCATCACAATAGCAAATAGCCTCAACATGGGCATTTTTTGAGATGAATCGTTTGGACTACTGGACTGAAAAGAAATAAAGGGCGTTACGAAATGCCTGGACTGAAAAGAAATAAAGGGCGTTACGTTTGAAAATGCCTCCACAAAGTGATTCACACTGAGAATAACTATGCTCCCATCTACACTGACCATTTAATGCAGCTTCAAACTGGTATTAAAGAAAGTGGTGATGACACAGGAAATCCTGGAACCAGTTAGAGCAGTGTTTCTCAACCTTCCTAATGCCGCGACCCTTTAATACAGTTCCTCATGTTGTGGTGACCACCAAGCATAACATTATTTTTGTTGATACTGCATAACTATAATTTTCCTACTGTTATGAATTGTAATGTAAATATCCGACATGCAGGGTGTATTTTCATTCACAGGAACAAATTTGGCACAAATACCTGATATGCCCAGTTTTGAATGCTGATGGAGTGGGTGGGAGATTGATTTTGTCATTTGGGAGTTGTAGTTGCCCAAATGTGAACACTGGTGGAGTTTGGCGAAAATAGACCTTAACATTTGGATGTTGTCATTGCTGGGATTTGTAGTTCACCTACAATCAAAGAGCATTCTGAAATCCACCAACAATGCAATTGAACAAAACTTGACACACAGAACTCCCATGACGAACAGAAAATACTAGAAGGGGTTTGGTGGTCATTGACCTTGGGTTTTGGAGTTCACTTAAATCCAGAGAGCACTGTGGACTCAATGATGGATCTGGACCAAACCTGGCATGAATACTCAATATGCCCAAATGTGAACACTGGTGGAGTTTGGGGAAAATAGACCTTGACATTTGGGTGTTGTCGTTGCTGGGATTTATAGTTCAGCTACAATCAAAGAGCATTCTGAACTCCATCAACAATTGAATTGAACCAAACTTGGCACACAGAACTCCCATGAGCAACAGAAAATACTGGAAGCATTTGGTGGACATTGACCTTGAGTTTCGGAGTTGTAGTTCATCTACATCCAGAGAGCACTGTGGACTCAAAGAATGATAGGTCTGGCATGAATACTCAATATATCCAAATGTGAACACTGGTGGGGTTTTGGGGAAAGAGATTTAACATTTGGGAGTTGTAGTTGCTAGGATGTATAGTTCACCTACAAACAAATAGCATTCTGAACCCCACCAAGGATAGAATTGGGCCAAACTTTCCACACAGAACCCACGACCAACAGAAAATACTGTGTTTTCTGATGGTCTTTGGTGACCCCTCTGACACTCCCTTGTGATCCCCAGGTTAAGAAACACTGAGTTAGAGGCTTGGATGGATGACTGGATGGCCCACAAGGTCTCTTCCAACTCTATGATTCAATGGAGGGAGGAATATTAACACTCCTCATAGGGCTTGTTCTCCAGAACCTTGATCATTTTGGTTGCCCTGCTCTGGACACATTCCAACTTGACAATATCTCTCTTGAACTGTGGTGCCCAGAAGTGGACACAATATTCCACATGTGGTCTAACCAAAGCAGAATAGAGGGGTAGCATTACTTCCCTAGATCTAGACACTATGTTCCTATTGATGCAGGCCAAAATCCCATTGGCTTTTTTTGCCGCCACATCACATTGTTGGCTCATTCCACGAGGACTCCAAGATCTTTTTCACACATACTGCTCTCGGGCCAGGCACTGTCCCCCATTCTGTATCTTTGCATTTTGTTTTTCCTGCCTAAGTGGAATATCTTGCATTTGTCACTGTTGAACTTCATTTTGTTAGTTTTGGCCCATTTCTCTAGCCTGTCAAGATGGTTTTGAATCCTGCTTCTGTCCTCTGGAGTATTGGCTATCCCTCCCAATTTGGTCCCGTCTGCAAACTTGATGATCCTGCCTTCTAACCCTTCATCTAAGTCATTAATAAAGATGTTGAACAGGACCGGGCCCAGGACAGAACCCTGCTTGTGGCACTCCGCTCGTCACTTCTTTCCAGGATGAAGAGGAAGTATTGGTGAGCACCCTCTGGGTTCGTCCATTTAACCAATTCCAGATCCACCTCACCGTAGTTTTGCCTAGCCCACATTGGACTAGTTTCCTTGCCAGAAGGTCATAGGGGACCTTGTCAAAGGTACGCTACATCCATGGCATTCCCTGCATCTATCCAGCTTGTAACTATCGAAAAAAAGAGATCAGATTAGTCTGGCATGACTTGTTTTTGATAAATCCATGTTGACTCTTAGCTATGACCGCATTGATAGCCATGTATAAATATGTGAGAGGAAGTTACAGGGATGAGGGAGCAAGCTTGTTTTCTGCTGCCCTGGAAACCAAGATGCAGAACAATGGCTTCCAACTACAGGAAAGGAGATTCCACCTGAAAATGAGGAATAACTTCCTGACTGTGAGAGTTGTTCAGCAGTGGAACTCTCTGCCCAGGAGTGTGGTGGAGACTCTTTCTCTGGAGGCTTTTAAACTGAGGCTGGATGGCCATCTGTCAGGGGTGTGTTGAATACGATTTTCCTGCTTCTTGGCAGGTGGTTGGACTGGATGGCCCACAAGGTCTCTTCCAACTCTATGGTTCAATTGAGGGAGAATATTAACAATATAAGATATGCAGATGGCACCATACTGCTGGCAAAAAATAGCAGAGACATGGAACAATTACCAAATAAAGTTAAGGAAGAATGTGAAAAGGTAGGATTACACTTAAACATCAAGAAAACAAAAATAATGACCAGAGACTATTTAAGGTATATAGCTTTAAAGTAGATTATGAAGACACTGAAATGGTTTAGGGTTTTCCATACTTTTCCATACAGTGTACGGTCTGTTGGGGTTACATTGTTGAAGATGAAGGTCATGTGTTGTAATCAGGAAATGTAAAATGCCGTGAGCGCACCATCATCCTCATCACCACTGAGGTCTTCCTTCCTGATGGAATTGGCACTCATCCTCATTCGATGGTGGTTCTACCATGTTCAGGAGAATCCCCTTCCCTCTGGGTGTCTGTACTGGTAGGAGAAGCCGTGTCTGATCTTATTGAGGTCCTATTGTTTTTGTTTACTTTTTGGACCTGGCAAGAGTTTGTCTTGCCTTTTTTATCAATTTAAGTCTTCTTTTCCAGTACAGATCTCCTGGTGCGGACTTCTTGCACTTTCTTCTACCTCTCTGGTGCAACCCTCCACCCATCTGATCGTGTTCTGAGTTTGTAAGCTCCATTCTTGCTGTAATTTCCTTGTAAATATTTGGAATATCACGGTCTATGATTTGATCATGTCTCTCTTTCAAAGCTTTATAATGTTCATAACAGTCGCTTACTTCGTAGGCCAGTCTACGTAATTCAGTAATGCATTCAATGAAGTTCATTTTTTTTGGTTGGACATGATCATCTGCGATGTCGTTGCCTTTCTGCATCTTACGAGGTTTAGCTGGTTTCTGAGTTTCAGACCTGTTGCGTTTCAAGCCTTTTCCTAAAAGTGATAATAAATAATGAATAAAATATCAAAACATGGATAGCTATTTCTCATATTACAGAGAGACATTCTGTAGGAGACACATGGACATGCACACAACACACACAATTGCCTAATATTTTTTGAAGTTGACGGATTGGAAGTCTCAGGGATGGGGTTATTGGGCTGCTTATCTATTACCGTATATACTCGAGTATAAGCCAACCCGAATATAAGCCGAGGCACCTAATTTTACCACAAAAAACTGCAAAAACGTATTGACTCGAGGATAAGCCGAAGGTGAGAAATTTAGCTTGTACTGGTAATAATCAGTAGGTTAAATGTTTTTGAGCATTTACATACAACTGTAATTTAAGATAAGACTGCCCAACTCTGATCAAACCATTATTCTAACCTCCTTCAATGTAAATGTGCTTACCTATTACCAATACTGATAGAGTAAAATAATAAATGCAATAACATGTAATAAAAATAATAATAGAGCAAATAATGGAAATTTAATAATATTGGCAATCATAAAGTAATAAATGTAATAATAATAATAGAGTAAAATAATAAATGTAATAAAATAATAATAGAGTAAAATAATAAATGTAATAAAATAATAATAAAGTAATAAATGTAATAAAATAATAATACAGTAAAATAATAAATGTGGCGGGATTGTGGCGCAGCTGGCTGAGTGTCAGCTGCATTAAGATCACTCTGACCAAAAGGTCATGAGTTCGAAGCCAGCCCGGGTTGGAGTGGGTTTCCAACCAATTGTGTAGCCTGTTGTTGACCTTTGCAACCCGAAAGACAGTTGCATCTGTCAAGTAGGAAAATTAGGTACCATCTTAAAGTGTGGGGAGGCTAAATTAACTGATTTATGAGGCCATAAAAAAAAGACTCCAGCAAAGCACTCCAGCAAAAAAACATGCGGGGAATGCGGAAGTACTTCATCAGTGTCGCAGATGGACGATGAAAGCGACAGCTCCCCTGGCCGCCAGAAAAAGTTAAATAGCCTCTGTGTAAGTCTGCATATGTCTGTACGTCAAAATTGGCATTGAATGTTTGCCATATATGTGGACACTGTAATCCACCCTGAGTCCCCTGCGGGGTGAGAAGGGCGGAATATAAATGCTGCAAATAAAAATAATAAATAAAATACTAATAACAGAGTAAAATAATAAACTGACTCGAGTATAAGCCGAGGGGAACTTTTTCAGCCTAAAAAAGGGGCGGAAAAACTAGGCTTATACTCGAGTATATACAGAATATATTAAATACAATACAATGTGTGAATATAATATACAATTTAACATAATATACAATGTAATATACATTATATTGTATATATAATATATTGTATATACATATAATATTGATAATAATATTATAATGTAATACAACATAATATTAATTATATATTATATATTAAATGTAATATTTCTAATACAAATACATTCACATGATTAGCTATTTCTAAATGCTTTCTGATGTTGTTATTTAATTTAATTGGGATGTTCTGTTGATTTCTGTAAGTTTGTTATTTCATGTGATTGAGACTGTTTATTGATTTTGATTCATTTTGTTGTAGCATTTTATGTTCTGTGTTACACTTCAGTCAGTTTATAATCCGAACCATCATCACCTGTATTCACGGAAGAAGTGGTTGTCACCTTTGGTGGTTGATCCACGGAATCGTCAGAAAACACCTGTTCTGTGGAAAAACAGGAAAGCATTTTTCAGAAAAGACACACACACACACAGTGGGCGATCATTTTATTATTATGCTAGCCACCCCCTGCCACGAATTGCTGTGGCCCACTCTGGTGGTCATGGGAGTTCTGTGTGGGAGGTTTGGCCCAATTCTATCGTCGGTGGGGTTCACAATGCTCTGTGATTATAGGTGAACTATAAATCCCAGCAACTACAACTCCCAAATGTCAAGGTCTATTTTCCCCAAACTCCACCACTGTTCACATTTGGGCATATTGAATATTTGTGCCAAGTTTGGTCCAGATCCATCATTGTTTGAGTCCACAGTGCTCTCTGGATGTAGGTGAACTACAACTCCAAAACCAAAGGGCACTGCCCACCAAACCCTTCCAGTATTTTCTGTTGGTCATGGGAGAACTGTGTGCCAAGTTTGGTTCAATTCCATCATTGGTGGGGTTCAGAATGCTCTTTGATTGTAGGTGAACTATAAATCCCAGCAACTACAACTCCCAAATGTCAAGATCTATTTTCCCAAACTCCACCAGTGTTCACATTTGGGCATATTGAGTATTTGTGCCAAGTTTGGTCCAGATCCATCATTGTTTGAGTCCACAGTGCTCTCTGGATGTAGGTGAACTACAACTCCAAAACTCAATGTCCACCAAACTCTTCCAGTATTCTCTGTTTGTCATTAGAGTTCTGTGTGCCAAGACTGGTTCAATTCCATCATTGGTGGAGTTCAGAATGCTCTTTGATTGTAGGTGAACTATAAATCCCAGCAACTACAACTCCCAAATTACGAAATCCATTTTTTTGAGTGGAGGACATAAATTGGCCTACTAGATGACTTGTGTCCAAATTTGGTGTCAATTCCCCCAGTGGTTTTTGAGTTCTGTGAATATCACAAACAAACATTACATTTTTATTTATATAGATTATCTTTCTCAAATCATAATCATAATGCAATCTCAGGATGCATCTTCCGCAGCTGGAATTTCAACGTTCTCAAAAACATCTTGTAGCGGCATATTTTCAATGTATGGTTGGTTCTGAGTATAAACAAGAAAAATATGTTGATTGTAATGACTCATTTCTGACAGTTTCTGTTGAATCTAGGAAGGGGCGGAGGGAGAGGGGAAGAGATGAGCGTTAAACAGGTTGTACAAACATGTTGAGACCTATTCCCTACCATTGCTTGTACCCAACCCAAGGCAGCATTTCTCAACCTGGAAAGTCAAGACCGGGGGGGGGGGGGTCACCAGGGGGATGTCAGAAGGGTCACCCAAGACCACCAGAAAACACAGTATTTTCTGTTGGTCATGGGGGTTCTGTGTAGGATGTTTGGCCCAATTCCATCGTTGGTGGGGCTCGGAATGCTCCTTAATTGTAGGTGAACTACAACTCCTAAATGTCAAGGTCTATTTATCCTAGTAACTACAACTCCTAAATGTCAAAGTCTATTTCCCCCAAACTTTACCAGTGTTCACATTTGGGCATATTGAGTATTCATGTCAAGTTTGGTCCAGATCCATCATTGTTTGAGTCCACAGTGCTCTCTGGATGGAGGTGAACTACAACTCCAAAACTCAAGGTCAATGCCCACCAGACACTTTCAGTATTTTCTGTTGGTCATGGGAGTTCTGAAAGTGCTGAGAGTGCCTTGGACTGCGAGAAGATCCAACCAGTCCATCCTCCAGGAAATAAAGCCCGACTGCTCACTGGAGGGAAGGATACTAGAGACAAAGTTGAAGTACTTTGGCCACAACATGAGGAGACAGGAAAGCCTAGAGAAGACAATGATGCTGGGGAAAGTGGAAGGTAAAAGGAAGAGGGGCCGACCAAGGGCAAGATGGATGGATGGCATCCTTGAATTGACTGGAATGACCTTGAAGGAGCTGGGGGTGGTGACGGCCGACAGGGAGCTCTGGCGTGGGCTGGTCCATGAGGTCACGAAGAGTTGGCGATGACTGAACGAATGAACAACAACATGGGAGTTCTGTGTACCAAGTTTGGTTCAATTCCATCGTTGGTGGAGTGAAAAGCCCTATGAGGAGTGGCTTAAAGAGCTGGGCATGTTTAGCCTGAAGAAGAGAAGGCTGGGAGGAGATATGATAGCCATGTATAAATATGTGATGGAAGTCACAGGGAGGAGGGAGCGAACTTGTTGTCTGCTGCCCTGGAGACTAGGATGCAGAACAATGGCTTCAAACTAAAAGAAAGGAGATTCCATCTGAACATGAGGAAGAACTTCCTGACTGTGAGAGCTGTTCAGCAGTGGAACTCTCTGCCCCTGAGTGTGGTGGAGGCTCCTTCTTTGGAAGCTTTTAAACAGAGGCTGGATGGCCATCTGTCAGGGGTGATTTGAATGCAATATTCCTGCTTCTTGGCAGGGGGTTGGACTGGATGGCCCATGAGGTCTCTTCCAACTCTTTGATTCTATGAACTGACTCCAAATGACAAAATCATCATTTTTGAGTGATGGTCACTCCTTGTGTTGTGAGACGTTTTGTTGCCAAATTTGTTGTGATTTTGTTCATTGGTTCTTTTGTTTTTAGGGTGTTCATTATGCACAGAGCATTTTTATATAGATAGATATTAAATATAATACAATGTGTGAATTTAATATACAACATAATATACAATGTAATATACATTATATTGTATATATAATATATGTTGTATATACATATAATATTGATAATATTATAATGTAATACGACATAATATTAATCATATATTATATATTAAATATAATACAATGTGTGAATATAATATAC